GAAAATAAGTTGTTGTTTTTTTTGTATTTTTTTTTTTTTTTTTTTTTTTGCAGGATTTATTGCAGTTACAGTATGAAGGTGTCGCCGTGATGAAGATGTTTGGAAAAGCCAAAGTCAATGTCAATCTGCTGATCTTCCTCATCAATAGGAAGTTCTACGGCAGATAAGAACCAAACCTTTTATTTCGCTTTTTAAACTAGTTAAAAATATGCATTGTTGTAAAATAATTTTTTTTTAAATATGAAGATGAAACAGAATTTTACTTTCACAGCATTGTGTATCGAGTAGGTATTTAAACTTTCAGTGATTTGGGAAACTGGTATGTGTGCCTTACTTTTAGGAAAACCCACCTTCAATCAAAACAAGTGTACAGGGAGTGTGTCATATTTACGTAGGTGTCCCTGTTTGTTGATGTTGTATTCACAAATTTCTATAAAATGATATGGTGTGAGAAATAATTTTATATATGGATTTTCAATACCGCATTCCCTTATATCTAAATACGAGGTTTAGTATGTTAGTTGTAATATCATAGATTTATTAATTTTCACAGTTGCCATTTTTTCCCCACCATTGGTAATTTCAATATTATGAATATTATATAGCTTACCCTGTTGCACTTTTTTTAAAATGTACAAAGTATGAGATTAGTGTAAAACATCAGTTTATTTGGTTCCAGTATGTAAATTTAGACGGTTTATGTAGACACTATCATCATGTTACTTTATTTTAAATTGCTAGTATTTTCCGTTTTTTTTTTTCATTGAATGTCTATCTGTTACTGTCATCTTCTTTTCCAGTTTTAAAAATGTTTTTTTTTTTTTTTTACGTATGGGTAGATTGAACTGTCTTTCTGTTTGCTTTAAGAGTTGCACCATTATTGCTGGGGAGGGAGGGAAGGGTGGTGTATTTGCTTTTAACAAAAAGACTATTTACAGAGGACAAATATTTGCATGAATGGTGAAACAAATCAAAAAATAGTTTTTCAAAGGAAAAAATCTATTGTTGACCTCGCTAACCAAAACTGCCCCCCCAGGAAATAATGGTTCAGCCCTAAACCTTTCACTGCCATTAGCAACATTCCAACTGTGCAATTAATTTTTAAAATTGCTGTATGAATTTCAGTTTGGTAAAATGAATCTCTGCAACAGTTGATTTTGGGTTTGGAAATTCTAAAACTAGTTCATTACCGAACCTGCGTTTGGAAGTGCTCTCTGAGTTAATGCACTAGTCTCAATAGACGTTATATATAAAAGGCCGGGTATTTGGGTCTCAAATGTTGAAGACACATTTCTAATCTATAAGATACTGTGTGATCATTGCATATCACTTGGTTATGTCCGGGGTCCGTCCCACTGAATCAGAGCTTGCCCTGTAATGATGCACATTATGATTGGCTGTTGTTCACAGGTGCACTAATGAAAACTATTCTTCCAATATATTATCCCGTCCTATGTCTATTATGTACTTAAAATGACATTTGCATTTTATTAATTTTTTTTTGATCACATGGAAAACTGACATCTAAGGCAAAATGGATTTCTTAGCAGTTCCACAATTAGGGTGGGTAATGGACTAATCCCGCTGAAGGTCATAACTGATGTTCTGCTCCACGGATAATTAAAACGCGCACAAATTCCTTAAACATTTACATCGATGTTAATGCATTGTATTGTATACTGTAAAATACTTTATTTTAGCTGGATTTAATTTTTGCTGAAACGACTTTTGAGGTGTTTTGTGTAGAATTTATTTTGACTGATTTTTGATAAGTTGAATGTAAAATGTAGGAAAAAAGGTATATTTGATGGATTTTATTTTCACTGAATTACCCCTTCAGCGAAAATATGGAAAATAAATTCCAAGTGTAAATAAAGTACTTTACAGTATATAAATGGTTTTACCACATCACATCATGGAGATGTAATTCTCCGCCATTCATTGTATTCGCATCTCTGCCAAAGATGCGTTTTATGAAATATACAACTTAAACATTTTTGTGCTCTGTTATTGAAATTCAGTTTCCTTTCAAAACAACAAAAATATACATGTTTAATTATTCATGATTCCGCCATTTGTTAAGTTTACTCTAGTTGTATTACATTTACAAGTTTATTCACTGCACATTGAATTCTGGGTATTGTTCCATTATATTTGAACTTTCTCACTTATACTTTCAGCTGGTACTGTTTATGCAAAGAAAACGGCAGTTCAGATTATTTTTAGTTTTATAACATTTTTCTCCCCCCTGGTGTCATCAATAAGCTGCCATTTACAGTATGTAGTATGTATATGCGATAATCAAAAACTTGTATCTTTCTCAAATTTTTCATTTTTACGTGTATGTGAATGAGCTAGGATTGGTGAGTTGCTGTTTTCATGCTTTCTCTTAAAGCGACAGTCATTAGGTAACACTGTGTTTCTATGTATATTCTATGGTAACATGTGTTAACACAAATTCTAATGCATGTTGTGCAAAGACTGACACTTTAAAATATCTAAACTATGAACAGCATTTTACTTTTGAAACCATCAGTGGAAATTGCTATCTGGAAAACAATGAATCATTTTTCCGTCGGTAGTAAATGCTTTTTCAGTCGGTAGTCTATATTGACAATTAAAAGACTTGCTTTTTTTTTGTTTTCAAGTAGAAATAAAATTATATATAGCAGTCTGTATGGAAATGTGTTTTTGCTTTCCTGTTATTGTCCCTTAAAGTTGCTGGTCGCACAAGTGATATAATAAAAATACTTGTAATGCACTATTTTAGTTGTATTATTCTTTATGGACTGGATACAGATTTTGCCGCCCGAGGCAGTATGGCGGAAGTGCCTGAGCTTGCTATGGTGCTTTAACCATACAACCAAGGAACGCAAAGGCCATATCCAGTCCATAAATGTTTTGTCATATGCCTTATAGGGCATTTTTAAAAAATTATTCAAACTACTGGTTTTTCATTCATCTCGGTTATTAATCTTATTTCTACCATTTATTCAAACATTCACAGTGCAGATTCAGTTACACTCGCAACTCTTTGAAACTAGAATCCTGACCAGAATTTTTAAATTTTTTTTATCTGAGGTGGTATTGCTCCGAAAATGCAATGGACCTATTTCAGGTTGCTTGTTTTAATTTTTGTCTGCGTTCATGACGTCACTGCAAAGACAGTGCTTGATTTGTTAGTGTCTATGTGAACCGTCCTGTTCTTGCATCCAACAATCGTCCCTTTCCTCAAAAAAACCCCTAAATTTCATATATGTGTATATATTAATATGAATTAAAGTAGCGATGACGGATTTTGTACATTACCCATAATGCAATGTGATAATTAAGTCATTGAAAAGGTGCACATGAATTATGCAGGTTGAGTCTCGGCAAATTCACAAGGAAGAATTTGATACATCGAAAACAAAAAAACTTAACAAGCTGCTCTCTGATTGGTCTGACTGTTAGGATTGGGTAGCCAATCAGGCACAATCTTACAAGTAGCTTTAGGCACTAGCATCTGATGTGTATGGAATGCTTGGCTGGGCACATTAAGAATGTATGACCTGGTAAGACAATTTGAGATTTGAATCATCACAAATGCGACTGTCAGTATGGATTGATTTCACCATATCTTGTGTTTATCAATCATGGGACGACATAGATACTTTCCCTCTTGTAGCATTTACAAAAAAACTATACACCAAAATGTGTTTTCAAAATTATTTTATCGCTATTAAAAATATCAATATCCATCATGCGTCCTGGTTAGAATACCATACACTGAAATAGTATGTTGGTTAATAAGTTACTCAAAATAGACAATTTAAAATTGAAATGAAAAGTTTGTTATTAGACTTAAGAGGGCGCTGTGAGCCGCCGCCGCTCTGTGGTGTATTTGCTCTTGGAGCCAAACTTATTTCAAATTCGATCAACTTTAAAATTCGGTTGAAAATACTAAATTATATACTAATGTAAACATTCTTTGCATACATTGCACAATTTTTTACAAACATCAAGAAAATTTGAAATACATTTTCAAATCTTGAAAATGATAAACATGTTTAGAAATTAACATAATCGATTTAATGGTCGCTGGTCGTAAAGCAGCGCTTGTTCGAATATTGTGTAAACAAACTATGTATGTACACGTCGTATAGGTCGCATGGGACTCAACGACCACCGTCTCTCACTATATGTAAACTAACTCTTCAACGAGAGGCAAGGAATAAAATAATATTGACAAAACATAATCTGGTGGCTTTTTTCATATATTCAAATCGACTGTATTTTATAACTGTCTGCAAATGTGACTATGGATGATTCATCTACACACGCACACAGACTGGCAAAACAGCAAAACGTAAGCTCGAAAAACTGAGCTTGAATCGTGATGGGGAAAACACGTTGTTGGGGTGCGTTGTAGTGCCGGCTAATCTAGTTGTGGATGAGTTCATGAGAAATATATACATTGTTTAGTTGTGAAGGATTATCCATGTAATTATGGTGCGAAATGAGACAATCTTCTTTCTATTCTGCCGTTCGTGTCTTCAGAATTGTTCAAACTGCGTCACATTCAACATAGGGTACACCACGCGATGGATTTGGTGAAACATCAACTCGTTCGAAGTCCGTTCACACATAACGTCCATTAGTACCGTGGTGTAAATATCTGTGATCGGAGATTGTGTACGTTCGACTCCGTTTGAGTATTGTCCTGGCTTGAATCGGCATTGTTCGACAAATAGCGCCTCCACCGACGAGCTTTAATTTTTGAACATATCGCAGAGAAGTCTTTCCATGGGAGTGTTGCCGATGGTGTGGTGAAAAAACAAATTTTCTATCCTGTTTGGCGTGACAAACCGTAACGATGGTAACATCAACAGAAGTCTTCCAAATCTGTATATAGAAGATAAACAATATTAAATAAGTACATCTGCCAGTGCGGAACTATGCGATGTGGAAGTTGAGTTGAAAACAAAGGAAGGCTGTGGACAAAGCATCGTTATGGGTGAAGACGAAAAATATAAATAGTAAATTTTTCGCCAGGAATACGAGTATAAAATATATGCAGAAACATTCTGGCGGAACCCAGATTTCTAATGGATAAGCCTCCACCATTTCCATGAGAGAAACATTATATCCCAGATATAAATAAATATAGATATATATGAAACGTGTAGCTCACCTTGTCGGTTGTGTTGGGTGATTCCTTGTGTGTTGTCCTAGCATTAATTGTGCCTGGTCTTGAAGGTTTTCTACTTGCTGTGGGTCTTTGAGTCCACGAGTATCTGCAAAACAAATCACAGCCGTCTTTAGTTTCAGCCAATGCGACGACGATAAAATCATCACTGACTAAGTGACGGTGTTCTACATTTTAAACGTTGTACGTAGACAAAAGTGCAAGTTTAAAAATCTACCAATTTTAAGTTGTCTTTTCACAAATAATAAATTTTATAAATGATCTTAGCCAATTTTACACAAAATGTTCTCAATAAGTCTGTACATCCATCGTATACACCAAAAACTAAATAAGGACAGTGTACCAAACGAAAATGTCATAGTTTATGTAACTACTTGTACCGTATATGTGCTTCGGGGTTTTCATCTGTCCAATATATTGCGCCCTCTAGTGATGTGGCAATTCAGTGTAAGCAATGCCCTTCAAATCGACAACTCTGTTTGGTTGTGAAGTCTTTCCTCGTCTAGAAATAATAAATTTTCTAATACAGAATTTGCCATTGGCGACCTACCACGGATCAAGTGTGGACGAGGTAGCGGCGCCCCCTTAAGACAATTTACGTCACAGAAGAACCTTGCCACTTGAGGGCGCAATTTATACGAACGGTGCATTCAATCAAAATTTCACACAGTCACATATGTTACAATTAATCAATAGACTTGTTTCATTTCACACAAACATATTCCAACTGACTCAAATTACATACGTATAGAAGAGAATATCATGAATCCAACCCACCTGGTTTAAAAAGCACGATTGCCTTCATACACGCAAACTCAGCTGGGTCGACGTTCATGGCTTTAAATCTAGCCATAATCTCTTGTAACACACGTATATCTGACAGCATAGCCGCGGTTTTCCCATTCAGTTGAGTTGCCTGGCTCTGTTCTGGTGCAACTAATAACGGCGACGATTCCAGCGGCATGGACCACTGAATGGCGCACAGTAAAAAGAGTTCGCTCCACGCCTCTTCTAACAAAATTACCTGAAATAAAATTAAATAGTTTATTTCAACAACGTCACCGTATAGTCACCAAGATAAACTTCGCGACTTCAAGTTTTATAATCCTGTTGATTCTGTTCTTCACGATCTCAACCAATCGACCGTAAAATGGAATATATTTCGTGTACATCTACCTATCCCCAGGTTTTTTTTTTTAAAACCCGACAATCGTCGCGCCGCAGGTCACATGCGACGTATAGTACAACGCGTGTAAAATACACTGTTTACGTTTTATTCTAGCGCGTGTTGCATGGTGACAGGTTTTGCCTTTCCATTTATATACGATTTTTTATCTAAACTATTCATGTCATTGAAATCGAACATTAAAACATATAACTAAACTATTTGCCAAATTGAGAAGACTATGTAATACACACAATTTACCGCTAACGAACAGACAACTAACCAGCTGTTATGCGTGCAATACATATCATAAGCTTGTCACGAAATCAATACCGCCAACGGGTAAGCATTAGCAGAGAAACCTATCACGTCCATTTAGAGTCTGAGTGGTGCAGCGAATCGTCCCCCTATACACCTGAGGAAATAAATGTACTTTCCGACGTAAATGTAACAATATGCCGCTATGGAATTATGACTGCGCGCATGGGTATTATGTTTTTCAAATAACATAAAATTTAAGTTGTTATAAATGTCACGTTATCAGCCTTATACATTGCTACTCTCTTGAACAGTGTCTTTGTGTTTATGTCGATCCGTCGACCGAAAACGTACCTGATCCCTGAACGGCAGTGCCGAGAACGAAGGTAGATTTTTAGCCCATTTTACAGCCATGAAGAGTAATCTTGCCGATGACTCATATATGTTTTCTTGGGTATTCGGGTAAACCGTCGGTATATCTCGAGTGTTCATATTTCCGTTCCAAAAATGTCGGCGGTGAAGTTCGTTTTCCTGTTCTTGATCGATACTTGTAACGTCGATGTTTTCTTCAGCTGAAGAATAAAAAAAAAGTATATTAAATGTTTTTAGAGTTATCCTGTCTGGACTTGTGACAATCCAAACCCACGTGTGTTTTTTCGCGTTGCCCCCCCCCCCCTTGACACAGTCACTCTGTTGTATGGGTAAATCATATTCGGCTTATTACTTCTGCTCCCGAAACATCTGTCCTATTTTGGCCAACCTAACCAAATGTCCTACGTCTCTGCTATATTCGTTTCATAGAATACCGAATGGTTGGAATGTACTATTCATTTTAGGCGCAAAAATGGAAATTAAGAGGAAATAGCTTTACAATATGATATTCATTATTATTGCAATCTGCGCTGGTATTCAAGTTATATCTGTAACTTAAAAGGGTTGACATACCGATAAGAAATAGGATAATATAAATTAGTTATTCAAAATGAGTATGTTTAAAGAGAATGCCAGGAAACGATGTTTTGTCGCAATACATCATGTCTTGTCAAAACTTTACATAACTGTTCTTCAAACAACGCGTAATTTAGCTAGGAAACATGCGTCCACGTGTCTTCAAAATATCTCAATAATGTATTCCGTGTTTACTTATAGGATGTCATTAAACCTATTCGATGCAGTGTGTCACTCCGTCACCTCGAACACACATACCCCAACATTATAACATTCAAATATATTATATCAAGAGGTAATGTGCATATTTTGGAATGTTTTTTTGTGAATCTTTAAATCATTTTCTGTTATATTATATCTTGATCATTACGTGTGATTTATGGAACATAAAAATATATTTTTTTTGTAAAAACGTAGCAGTATTCATTCGGTGAAGTCATGAATCATGCTGGTTGTCAAAATATGACATTCGCGTTATGATAATGATGTATTGTTTTTATATTTGCATTGTGATGAAAACAAAATGATTAAACACACCAAAGTTATTCACATTATCATTACCTTTTTAAATCGCGATTTCTTTTTTATTTTTAAGCGAAACTTAATTAATTAATTTCTGTCTAGTGAAGTTCGGGAGTAAACGTTGGGGTTAAATAACGTGTTTATGCGCCCTGAGTACTTGAAACTGGGTAATTGATTCCCTGTCATTGGGGACCGGGGAAACTGGTAGGAATGACTAGTAGAACGGTTATTGTCCGTGACCGGGTTCGTTCATCATGATAATTGTCAGTCGGCTCCCGACGAAGTTTAGTTAAGCAGCGGTCCGGGGGTAAACAGCACCAGCTTTCGAACTGTTTCCCATAACGATTTGTACCAAATTGGTATTTTAAAACATGAACATCGCAACACAGTATATATGTATTACTGTTGATTGCTTCCAGGGTTTTGTGCGCATATCGCATATGGACAAGGCTGACGTAACTACTACGATGCAATAGTCGTAATATGACGTAATATTAACGCCAACAGAGAAATGTTTATAAATAAAAAAACCCAGTAGGACGAGGATAATCATGGGATCTATTACATTTGTCAGTAAACAAGAGCCTTCCATTACTATGGGTGGTAGGTAGTTAAATCACTCTTAAATAGCTTGCAAATAAATTTGAATTTCTGATGTTTGCCTGTGTTTTAGGCTAAATTTGTCGTGAAATTGGGTAATTTAATGGCACTAATGGTTCACTCTGATACCGAACAAGAGTAGTTTTTTTTTTGACATGCTTGACTAAATCGAATTACGATCAAACCAACAACCTTTTCCGCCGAAGATCAAAACTGCCGATCGTAATGTCGAAATCTGCAGGCGATCGACACTTTCTGATCTGAAATTGAAAATGCATCTAAAAAAATCAAATGTTTAACACTCCGAAAGTGAGTTCGATATCTCTCCAGTTGAGTTTCAATAGATCCGTTGACATTTCTGACTCCGTTGAACCGTTATCTGTGAACTAAATGCCGTATCGACTGCTACATTACGTGCGGCTATAGGGCGGCTATCGAATCGTTTATTGGAAAGAGACAAAATATAGATTTACATAATGATCGCTCACAGCAGCATTTCATACTATATCCATTTGGCTCGCTAAAGAACGTGGGAGATCTGATTCAACTTTAGACCATATTCCATTACGAGCATTCAGAAGTTGTGTTCAATATTACGAAACCATTCACCCAACAGCGGCGTGCATTGATTCAATACATCGTGTGGATTTAGCCAACTTTTCTCACACTCATTTCATTAACGATCAATTTTTCGCCCGGAAAGCCATATTCGTGCGAACAAAACCAGAACTGTCATGCTCGCTAGGTTTTAAAATAATGCACGCAGGTAAACAAAAAATTGTGGAGAACATGTCGCCAGGGTGGTGGTGGAGTGAGGTGGGTTGAAGTAATAAATACTGGTGGTTGTCGCCTGCACTTGCATTCTGTTCGGCTGGTCCGAAGATGCATTGTCAGTCCAAATTAACACAATTCGCGAGTTAAAACAAGGCCTGAAATTCAACTCCACAGTAAACGAGAGTAACAGTAGTTTGTTGTCATGGTAACTGTTATTGCAGTATTAACAGAGCTGTGTGAGCATGGTCAACAGTACAGTAGCCCAGGTACGATTCTTCCTGGCGGGGAGGGGGGGGGGTATGCAATATGCATCGCCCAAAGTTTTAAACCAAAAATAAACTGCTTTAGACCAATGACGTCATAGATACACTCACCTTCTTGCGGCTCCAGCTTGGCATATGTCTCAGCTGTCATGAGACTGGCCATAAATCGATGGTTCGTGCCGGGGCTTGAGGATCTCTGGTGTTGTGGCGTCATCACAGTGGACGATGTGGGCTCGCGATTCGGACTCGGTATAATATCCGGATTGTCTCCCGTGGCGGAGACGAGGGGAGCACAGTCGATTCGTACTTGGCTGCTGTTTCGAGGTTGGCGCTCGTTTTGTACAGCTAAATATATATATATATAAAAAGAATTGACATTAATTATAACTGTATATAATATAATAAATTTAATTCGACTTGAACAATATTTTTCCAGTTAGGAGAGATACTAAAATGCAGATGTTCATCATATCATTTAACAGAACCAATATTGGAATAGACTGTGACGTAAGAGGTAACGATTGCAACAGTTGGTCCCCCATGTATCAGGACTGCTTTTCCGCACATGGGAAATAACAGCGAGGAATACGTGTACGGTAGCTTCCTGTACAACATTTCCAGGTTATACACATCATATAATTACGTGTATCATGTCGTCTCAACCAATTAAACTAATATCGATAATCGACAGACAGTAATTAAAATAAGTAATAATAATTTATTAATTTATCTACATCGATGTATATTTCACGTTTAAACAAAGCCACACGGTCCCTCGAAACAGGGAGATTATAATTAATACTGCGATAATGTAAAGTTCCAATATTGGTTTTTGTTTCGTTAAAACGAGATGTTAATCATGTTGATTAGCAGAAATTGATTTATATGCCACTTGTGATTATCGGAGTCGCCTTTGCACCGGAGCTGATTAAGAAGAGCGTCACACTCATTAATCTATCGCAATTAATATGAAACCCACTCTTAATTAACTTGTAATTTATTGGTCGGGTGTATGTGGGATGAACTGCCAAATCACATTTACCGGGCGCCGTAAGAGCAGAGTAACATTGGCGAATGGGATGACACAAAAAACGAACGTTACCGCGTTAGCTAACCCAAAATAATGATAATTCTTTGTGTCCAAAAACTTTTCCTTTCTAACATAATATCATCTGATTGTGTCGGATTTCCGTTGTGTGTAAACCATTCCTCTATGTCCAGAGGAATTCGGAGAATCGCTTTGTTCCCTGTTAAGCGTAATATAACGAAGGTATCTAGTTTAAAAAAAGGACACAGACTGACATCTACTGCAATGACCCCGCCCTTTCCTTCAATTCATTTCACGCACTGGTGTCGACGAAAAAAAGACAGCCATGAATAACGTCGAAAAGTCTGAACCAAATTTAATAAGCAATCAATGATTTGAGAAACTCAATAAAAGTGGAAATATTGCGATGCAGGTATTCGAGTAATAGGTTTCAAGTAAGCTAGGTAATTTGAGGAGGTCAGCCGGGTACAATTGTATAAAGCGAGTGTGAATCGATCGACTGATTATAAGGTCTTAACACTAATCACTTTTCGTCTCCCTCATGAATTGTCAAATTAGAACTATTAATTAAGTTGATTGGTGGCAACGGTTTAAACTCGTTCCTTCTAGTAAGTAGCCATGCACATACAAAAATACCATGATCATACGGTCCAGACAGATCACCCGGAATTAGTAATATTAAACTATCCTTTCTTCGCACTATTAAGAAACTATTAAAGTACCTAGCTAAGATAGAATGTCACAAAGATATCACTTAAATACTGAATTCTATTCTGTGGGTATTAAAGCAGCGTTAGATGGCTAAGGGTCGCCCGATCACTTATGAGGGCATTATTACAATACATTTTAATAAAGTACAGAGAATAAAACAAATTATTCTTCTTGTTTTGCAATTGTACGTCATTATGAAGTGTGAATAAAACTACATTTCTTTGTTTTCAATTACTTTAATATTGAGTTGGAAATTATTCGATATATTTAGATGAATCAAACTCGTCTTTTGTGACAAATAATCATGAACGTTTTAATAAACAATATACTTTTATTCCGCGAAATAATTGACAAATAAAATGAAATGTAGTTTATGGTGTCGGTTGAGGGGGGTGATGAAAATAGTTTAAATAGTGATGGTCACAGGGAACCCTCTCTTGAAAGGATTTGAGAATGTGATCCTTGCTATTAAATGTGTGGACAAATACTTATTTTGGCAATACATTCCTAAGCGATCATGGATGTGGGAGCACCTTGCTCCGAAGACATTCCCCAGTAACCAACCATCAATACGGTTGTGATCAATACGAATCGTTGGCATGAAGTTTTTGTTTTATTGTCATACATGCTGTTTCCAATTCCCGGAACACGTGTTGGTGAAGCATCATTAATAATATTAACACTACTACACTCAACACTATTGAAAACTATGTTCATCTTTTTTTTATATATATTAACCAGAATTACAACTATAAATATATATCTTTTTATATAACTTGAAAACTTTGATACGCTCATATTTGTTAATATTGACCGGATGGTAACAATTACAAGACATCACGTACACCTAATGGATTGATTGTTGCGGGTGAGTCACCACACGGAATTCACAGAAACAGTTGCACTGTTTATCGCTCCCACCCATAATATGCAGAGATCGGTCCCTAATAATATATTGCGGCCGATTAAGATTTAATCTTTTAATTTCTAATACATATATGAAATTAATAATCCTGTCAGAATGCGATTTACACTAAAGACCACCCTACATAAACGAATCAGATATTGCGAGCGACTAACTGAATGTAAAACGAATCTAATAAAGCCGTGAGGAGGACGCAAATTACATTGAGAATTCAATGGCGATGATGGTCACTATGCATTGTCACATAACGAATTATAACTTAATAGATTTTATATCATGTCATGTCTAATGACAGCGGAGATACAGACTAGTCACAGCTCCGTGTTGTACATTGATTCTATATCATGTCTTGCCAGTGTCGCGTCACATGTTATAACGATCGACGATGTCTAGGGGGCATTCCACACGTGCAGATCGGTTAAGCGGAGTTCGATTAGATAGCCCATGCTTCCCGAACAATTATAACATATGTTTTTGGCTATATATATTTATATTTATAGACGTATATAAGCATATATAAATTATTTCAACTTTGTAATTTTTATGTCAGTCGTCAAGAATTACTTTCATCTTTAATACTAATATTCTGATGTTCAATATACAACATTCCTCAAAGATGGGTTATTAGAATCTCGGAACAAGACTTTGTAATGATGTAGCCTAATTGCAAATTTAGAACACCGAGACTGCTTTATGGATATATTTAGTTTGGCTTGTATTCTGCATTGAAAATTGATAATTTATGGCTCGTTCTTGGAAATGTTCTCTTGACGATAATTTTTTTGTCATTCTCTTTGTTATGTATGCTTCGAATCAAATATGTGAGAAAAAGAGAAAAACTGTCCAATGTGGCGGCCATTTTCAATAACATTTGATAAAACCTAGGAATCCGTAAACTTTCAAAAAATCACAGAGACCCTGTTTTGTTTGTGTTATGTCGATGTATAAACAGTCCAAAACTAATAAACTGTTTTTATTTTAATACCAGATCCGAATATACTTAATGTTAGGCGATTTGAGTCCGGATTCATAAAAAACTATGAAAAATGATTTAAGTTTTCGTTAATCGAACCACATATTTTTGGATTATATTGAAATTTTCGTTTTTTTAATTGCTATATCCATTTAAATATATATTTTTTTTATTTCTGAACAGAGCAACTTGAACACAAACAAGATAACTGACTGTGGATAGCAAATATATATGATCTTCGACCATATATATCTTGTTTATATATTGTAATCGACACTTTCTGATCACTTATCACATAAGACTTACACTAGATCCAACCTTATCATTCTAATAACAGCATACTATCAAACTACTTTGTAATGAACACGTTATTTAAAAGTGAGATTTTTATTTTTTATTGTAATACCGTATATTGTTTAGCGCAACTATGATCGCAATATATTTTCACGAATACAACAGTGTCTCACATCACCCAAATGATCATACAAAGCTGATGACGACCCCCTTATGCGAGCGAATATCTGTTTGGTAGATCACACATACAGATACTTCCACTTATAAAAGTATCAACCGTAGATATCTCCACACTTGTGTGCTGATATGGACAGATTGCTTTCTATTCAAATCACCACTCTACTTCAATGTTTCAGCCTCAACTCAGCATTTCGTTACCAAGAAATAATGCATAAGAAATCGATTCAATTTATGAGTTTTTATGCTCAGTGCGTAACAGACACGTTACTGGGGAAGGTTCTCCACAACGACGTTAACATACCATTAGCACAGCACTGATTAGATCGGCGTTCACAGCTGGAGAACAATTAGGGCCACACTAAGAACAAATTTAATTCTTCCAAATTTGATAAATCACTGCTTTATTTTGAAATGAGCGTGATTGGATGGTGACGGCTAGCTTAATGAGGTTAAATACAACACCATACTTATCACACCATCCCTATCACTACCAACACTTTTCTCGGCGCATCTCAATCCTAACCGTGATCCACACAGAGATAATCCCCCGTTTCCCCTCACTGATTCTGCGTTATTATTAGTTTAATATTCTGACCGGGTCTCATTTATTTTGCTTTTTCCCGCTGTGAGCCAGACATTCGAGCTCGCCGATGTGTAATTTACTCGGGGAGTCAATCCAGCTATTAAAACTAGAGTACACTTAACAGCTTCCGTGCTCGTTCCTGCCAACTCCATTCATTCCATGTTATTTAGAGCAATTTGTCCTTACCCACTTCCAGTATAGGCATTAGCACTCTATAAGGCAAAGGACTACGTTTCCTCGCCATTAAATTGTTCCACGCAGGTTTGGATTAATGTTCGTCACGATTTGTTTTCGCGTAACTGGTTTTTCAGTAGAGAAAGCCGTGAATTTAAACACAGACAATCATCCACCGAAACACGATAGAACAAGGGAAATGGACAAACATTTAGCCGCAGACCAGACCAGATTTAATTTATTTAACTTTGCTCTCATCGCTGTGCGCCATGCAGTTCGTAAGATATTCTTGTAAACACTCATTCCAGACATTTTTGCAATTTTGATTTTCAATTTCCGGAGAACGATTTCCGCCAATTTCCGCCACCACGCTTAACAGATCTCTCATGACCGCAGGCTGACTGTGGCAGCATAGCAGTATATGAGACCGAGTGTTTTAAAAACAACTTCAAATTTATAAGTTGGACCCGAGGCGAACCTTCCCATAATCTCAAATCTTGTCGGCTCTCTGACTAATAATTAGTATGACAACAGCGTGACAGTAATGCATCCAGCGATATAAAAAAGTAATGACTGGAAAAAAAACAACAAGCAAATTATTTTACTCGAAATTAGTTGAAATGACAGAACGGGAAAAATCATAACAGATAATAGGGTGGATTTTGCCGAGTTTCTCGCCACCTACAGAGATCTTTGAGTGAGGCAGTACCCCTTAACTTGGTCTGAGTAAGCATGCACAATTCAAAATATGCCAACTGCCAACAAAGTGTGCCACAAGGTCCCCGATGTCCAAAACATCACGGACAACGAGGGCGTACGTTTGCATGAAAATTAAATATATTGTTCTGCAGTCGACTTGATCTTCTCGAATCGTTCCAGGTAAATTCAAATCTGAGAAACAATTTTGGACCATGCGATGGAATTTCAATCTACTTTAGTTGACTTCAAGTTGATGAAAAAACAAATGGAAATATTTGATAGCAATTATTTCATTAACCGTCGCATCTATCGGGAAGCTTATGCGGAACATAACTCGTATGCTATTTCTGAGAGCGAGAGAACAAGAAACGCGAAAATCAGACTTGCATTTCTCGGCAAATCTAGATCACGGCATTTGGCGATAAGCTTTGGAAGTCCTGCAAAACGGATTCTAAGGCTATACTCATTTTCTCGTGCCCCTTTCCCGACTGATTACGCTTGGCGCTGTGATAATTCCCACTTAATACGGACTCTACTTGGAGTTATTTCTAAGTGTCTACTGTCACTTCCCATAACCTTCATTTGCTAGCAATTCTTTGATGGACTGTAGGCTTAAAAAGCCATGGAAATCATCAAATTAGACTACGGCGTCCGCAACATTCAATCTCGACATCAACGGCTCTGTTATCACGTTTTAAATCCACCCAGTCAAATCGTCTCACCCCTTCATTCCCCGGGCGGATGATTCATAGCAATCTCGATAAAATACGCGGATTACTTTTTTTTAAATTAAAAGACCGTCAGTTCAATTCATATTGTGCTTCATTGGCAAACAGTTCGACATTGTCACAAAACTTCCCATCTAGTACACCATTTTTGTAACAACACAACTCGGTGTACCGCAATGAACTTGAAACCTGCCCAAAATCTGGAGTTGACATTACCCCCCGACAATTCAGTAGATGGCAATACGCGCATTTGTATCAGTAGCGACACAATAAAAGTCCAACTTCTCTTACATGTAAAAATCCAATTTTTGTCATAAATCCCAATAGGCATAATAACCCTATAGATGTTGTGTTGAAAATTTAAATCCCTTGGCTTCTCGCCCGGAATATCAAATTATAATAATTTTGGTTCTTTATTCGCGTTGCTTTTTAAAATGTAATAGTTGGTACACCCCGCTATAAAATAATCAGTCACACAGTGGTTAGTGCAAAGAGTCTTACAATGCGAACAATTGGAGCCTTTCAGCGTCGGCTATATAGTATGAATCACTCCCACACTGTGGTATTCGTGCTCTCTCAATCTTTCAACGTGTACATTTCCTTTGCCATTCAGAGTTTTAAACGTCAAACTATATATTAATTAACACTTCCATTGACCAGCGTCCAGCACAGAAATCAAATATTGGTTTAGTAATCACGTGACCTACTCTACTACTCAAACCTCGTTATCATAAACTCGTTAGACATTTATGATATTTCTAAGTCCGGTCTGATATTGCCGCCAAATTAATACGAACTTAAAAAATATATTTCATAATTGGAGAGCGTTTAGTATAGCTGATCCACGGGCAACACGAATGCGGCGTCATTTAATTATTGATGATTCAATGGGAATATGATTGTGATCGCCGCTGTGTAGCGAAAAAAGGGGTACGAGTATACATATAATACAACTCTTTATATATATATATATATGTATGCATGTTAGCATGAAGTATATTCGAAACATTTTAAGAATCTACGTGATAAGTACAATTACTTGGAAGCATCGACGGATGGGAGTCTATGTTGATGATCGTCGGAAAGCTAACTACATCAACGGACCAGAAGTTTAATATTTGCGTTCAAACGATTATTCCGCTTATGATCCTATACTTTTTGATTTACAAGAGTAACACGTTGGACTCGAATCTAGCGGTCGCGTCAAAGGCTGTAATTGTCTCATTTATGCCTTACGGAACATATCAAATAAAAATTGTCAATTTGTTTTATTTTAATGTGTAAAGTATTTGGTAAATTGTCTTGTTTTGGCGTGTGATAATAGATGGACTATGTTTACTCTCAATTCAGGAACGCATTGCTGGTGATTTCACAAGAAAAATTGTTTATTTTATTTATTCGTCTGTTTATTATTTTATTAAGCAATCTTTTAAGCAATTTGTCACGTGTTCCAGTTACGTTTATTCAAGTCCGACTTGTGCGCAAATTGTATGGTGGCTTGGGCATTGGTTTTGATCATACATCTCTATTGGTATCGATTGTGATGTGGATGGTCTAGTGATGACTATAATCTTGTCAGACAACACAGTAATAATCTATCCCCGTTGATGTCAATTCAAGAATACTGTTTTTGACGTTAACCCCTTCGCCTAATGGCATCTCATTCTTAAGTCAATTTTTGTACTCGACCTATCACGCATTCTATGCGAAAACCCGTTAAATCTAACGCCAATCGCTCGTGAAACCAAAATATCAACTGTTAGAGCTGGATTTGCTCATTTATTAAATTCCACCGGTACTAATTCGCTGTCGCGTTGCCATGAAAGGTTTTTTCACCCTACTAGGCGTTAATAGCTTGCTTGATGTAGAGCTCAATTTGGCAGCCCATACATTGTTCTGCAAGGCATGTCTATGTCGTTTATACGAGTAATTTGCATTCGTTTGGCCTTATACACAATGTTAACGATTTCATAGCGATGAATTTCCTGTTGTAGCTTTTCGTTTGCATCAATATACGGCGTAAACGTGTAAAGTATTGTGTTGATGACATACCCTTAGGCCTGTACATATTCTGTTATTATCACCAGACACATAACACAGTTTAGAAGGAGCCAATCTTTCTGTCTTCTACCCCGGGAAGTGATAGCAAGGATACGATGGGTAATTTTACCGCGGGGTACAACACATTTTGACGTAGTGAGTCGAATGGTACACACGTTCCGCTACTCGGTACACGGCGTTAACAGTAACACCTCAAAACCATCGTAGAAAGGTGTTGTTTTTTTAGGAAAGATATCGTGACGGTCCCTGGCCATGGTCAGTGTATTATAGACACTCTTAGGTGAACCAATTCGAACAAGTAAAAGTTATCTTTACGCGGGGTAAACCAGTTTGCGCCGAAAGAGAAAGTGAAACATGTAAAATATTTAACGGTGGGGCAAATTACAGAGCACAGAGACTGATAGAACTTTTCAGCAACTTGGACCGTGACTGAATATACAACTTCGCATTAAAGGAGTTTCCACTACAAACCCCCATTACCATTTAGCTTTGAACTCGTTCCCGTGAGAATGGGAAATGGGGAGGCAGGTCTGATCGGTAAATACTCTCCGTACCGCGAAACGTACATACAATAATTCTTACATTAATGCAAATTATGTAAATAAATTAATGTTGTTAATTATTTATACGTACAGAGATTTGGAGTTAGTGCTAAGGCAGTATTTTGGTGATAGCTACTAAACGAATTCGGCCCGAGTAAAAACTTTGGCTCGTCTTCGTAACGAATAGTTTTTATCGCTGTTTACCATCATATGAAATAAAACGGAAAAGAAAGAATGTTTGCGCCAATCATCATCATAAGTACACCCACAAAATATTCGTCTCTCCGTATAGTACGTATCATTGAATTTTATAACCACTAAATATCAAATGAATTGCACCAAACATTTAGTGCGTGTTCGTTACATTGTAACATGTATGTTTTCATAAGAACAAATCAAGCAGCGAAAAACTGACAAAACATTGGCAAAATTATGTCTTACCGTCTTTATTCATGCCAGTTTGCATACATTTTTTCAGTCTGCATGCCTGACACTGGTTGCGATGGGCTTTGTCTACAGTGCACAATCCAGTACCGGCCTGGCATCTGAACAACAGAAAAAATATGAATAATTGTCATTGTGTATTGCAAAATTTGGCTGGCGGATGGATAATTCATACCCGATGCGTTACCAACGTGACGGTTTGAATAGCGGTATGAGTATACGGCGTTCGCCGAATGAATTTGACCGTCACGTACCGCATCCCAATATTACGAACGAAAATAAAAACACAGGAAAGTCGGAACGAACTTAAAACACTAATTTACGAGATCACGAGTCTCAGAAAGACATTAAGGTAACGCTAGAGTGATCATATTCACTATAAAAGAAATACTACGAACTCATTATGATCATGACTCCTCTATACAGCTGGTCTATGTCGCTGAATAGGCTGCGGGTACTGTTCTCTATACATACACATGGCAATAGTCATTGCACTATTAGGATTAGTAAATACTGGTATACTGAATAAAGAATAATATATAAATGATCCACCCAGTCCCTCGTAATAATCAGTAAGCGGGTGTTTAATAAAACCAAAATGTACGGTCTGAAATGCGTCATCAAAAGTTATACAAAATGTAGCTAATCATTGGAAGTCATGTGATATTTTCAGTTTATATACACACGCTTGTAATTTATTATTAATGCCTATAGAGAATGGCATTGAGAATACTACATCGATCCAGTTAAATTAATGTTTTATTACAATACGCATCTTCGACTTTTCATAGAATATTAGCGTAACACTAGATATTCATAACTGAACTTAGAACAACGTCTCTCGTCTCAATTTTAAATAAACGCACTATTCTATTCTCTTTCAGTAACAAAAATAAAACATTTACGGAAATTCTCATTTGGCTGCGGGTGATATCATTAATAATAATTATTATTACAGCGCAAAGTGAGGATAGAAGCTCCGAGGTACACTCGGTACTACATATAACGCGTGTACAATGAAGGCGGAGAGAAGTACCGCGTATTAGTTAATTCTTTGAACTATCCGCTTCCTATTCTCTGTTCATAACTCCCAACGGAAGCTATTCATAGTAAGATGTTTACCATAACGTACTTTTCTATTGAAATTTGACATTATGTGACAGTATTTCATCGAGAGGTCATCCATTGCTGCCTCTATGAGTAATGTACAATTTCTCCTTTGTGTAATGTAGCGAATGCAAGGTAAATGTACCGTCAAATTTGCTAGCAATGGGATAACTTCTTTCAGCTGTCATTCCCAGTTTTTAGTTCTATGTATATTTCCCAATTATCATAGATATGTGTATATATCCAGAGATACGTTTCGATCTCATTTTTTAATGTTTTGGGGGTCATAGTGTCGCTTTCAAAGTAATTTCTAGATGTGCCTTTTTGTAGATTACCTGTATATGAGTTTTCTGCGCACGCTCCGTTTGAAGAAGCCACTGCAACCATTACACGCGTAGATACCATAGTGTTTGCCGCTGCTGACATCACCGCACACCAGACAAGCCATTCCTGGCGTCACTCGCTTCGACGATGAATTGTGGGACGATACCATAGTCGGCGTTGTCGGAAAGGAGGGATGGTTTACGCTCACTGTCGGCGTGGAAGGGGGTGTAACTGCAGACACAGATCCCGGGGTATGCACTGAAAACACAGAGTACACAGACAAATTACGAACGACAGCTCATAACATTAAAGTTATTAAATAAATTGGTCTTAACTTTTTCATAATAGCCCGATAATTTGGTAGACGTAATCAGCAATCTTACATAAGTCTTGGAAACCCTACTTTCAATCGCGATTTGTTTTAAAGCGTACAATACTCACTCATTCCTACATTCAAGCAAAACACCACTTTCGTTACAAACAACTTGAAAATTAGCAAAAACCGTAAGTTGTGATTACATTTTCAGAACGATTAAGGCTGCCATTAAAAAACAATGATCGCTTGTATAAAAATAAAAAATGATGTTGACAACTTAAATTATCGCTACCTCCCATTTTGCGCGTTGCATTGTGTAAGTGCTGATGTCCATTACAGCTTTGTAAGAGGAATCGTACACGCCAGTATCGGGGGATGGTTTGATGAAGTAGCGAACCGGATACGATCTCAGTACAAATTGAGACAGATCAGTTGATATTACTGAGTCAGAAATAAAACTTAGAATGGTATCTTTTCTTTAATTTACTGGAAATGAGTGAACTCGTAGCATTAAGTACGGAGTAGTTTGCGCAGATGGGACCACATTGCTTCAACAACTGCGTGCTGCAGACAACGGATTATCATTCCGTTTACTCTTAAAAAGTAATGTTATATTAGGCGTTTCCTTTACATAACATCATTTAATGTCAAATGTCTTCTTTTATTTACGTTAAAAGCGGATAAAATGTCGCCAAGCTGGTCGTAAATCGTTGAATTTGTTAGCAATAATACAAAAACGCGGTATCAATATGCCAACATCGTGGTATCGTGAATTTCGTCTCTGAACGCGATGGTTATTTTTTGTGCTTCCGCTTTAATACATCTAGCCTCATTCTTTTGCGAGATTTAACGTATTTGTGCAAAAGAACGAATTTCTTTATTATTCTAGTTGTCGGTTAACGCTGATATAATTGCATAAAGTGCATAAACATATCACAAACTGTTACTTGATGAGTACTTTGTCCATTTTGACTCGTAGCCGAGTCGGCGCTGCCAGAATGCCTGCAGTGTCCGGGGGAAAGACATTGCGATGAGTACGTGAATGTTTCGTTCCCTTATGGGTCTCTTTACCGTGTTATTAGCTAACTCTTATCTCATCAAATATTCATTATTAAATGTGTGATTTTAGGCAGATTTGGCGTCTACAATTAAAAGCATGATGCTCTTAGTCACCTTTCTGCTGCCGGGCTTGTTTTTTAACACATCAAATATTAAGTTAGATGGAGAGACTAATGGGGAACAGCAGCAAAGTGGAGCCCGCTTAGCTCGGGCGATAAATCGAGTAGTTTACGTCGATAGCTTCTTAAGATCGTGTGAATGGTGGCGGGGGAAAAGCAAGGGCAGAATTGATTGGATGATATTATGGAGTCGCTTTGATACGAAATAGAATGCCCGTCTGTGTCTACATGTCTACACACATTTGATTTGATTTAGTGATCAAAGCTTTCGACTCTCGTCGCGATTCAGTTGCGGGCCAGGGATGCTACACCGTGACGATCGCTGCTTGACGGGGGAATATGTATTGCGTTCACTCTACACAATTGAAAAAAAAATAAATAAAAAATGTTAACGAAAATTTCATTAACGGAAAAATTACCAACATTAGATACGCCAATTCAAAGTTCAAGTTCATGTATATATTGCACAATTGTTCACCAATTCGGCCAAGCACTCAGTGCAATGATTTACAACAAGGAAATACAAAAAACGCACTGTCGTGACAGAATGTCAGTTATAATTAGTTTATGATGGTGAAAATAGGAAATACGAACGTTGTACAAATCTAATCGCCAGTTATGCTGTACCAGCAAACAATTCGTTTTATCCGCCCAAACGTTATTGATCATATGGCTCTGAATAATACATTGGCACGAGTTCCGATAATAGGACTGGCGATTCCTAAATGACCAAACAATATGTTCAATGTCGCGCTGTTCTGATCACAGTCAGAGCATGCACATTTTTGCTTAACGTGGCGCAACTTTTAAGGCGGAATATTTTTTGTAACAGAATTAACCCAACTGTAAGACAAGTTAAATGCTTCACATGACGTTCATTTCAAAATGGCAGACGACCCAAAGTATTTTTTGCACAAAATATCGCACTAGAGATTAGTCTCCATGAATGTGATAATAAATTGAGCCCGAAGTACAAATCAAGTCAGTAGCAGTACCAATTCATTATGAATCCGTGTATTCAAAATTTAATTCAATTATCCTTCTCAATTTTCCCTGTTCCGATTAAAATCGCCATGAGGACTTGATTTGATTTTCAACATTTTTAGTCTGACTTGAGATTTCTGTCGGTATTTTGTGAATAGATCGTTATTGTGTTTTGTGAGCACTATTTAGCAGCGTGTTTGTTCTGTAATCTTTGCTGGCTGACAAATTCAGTTGTTTAAGCTTTTATTGATTTTACCACATACCTAGTATATTTAGAAACAAATCTGCAATGTACAACGTTTCTCTCACGCGTTATGTCCACATTGTTTCTTTTATCCTAACCCCAAACCCCAATTTCCACACATTATATGAACACCCTTACTTGTCGTTTTATGATTCCCGAGAACGCGTTTTGTCGACTAGTACAGTAACAAATCTGCGTTTCCGGTACCCACAATTCATTTGCAATCCCGGTAGATGAGGAGGAGTTCCATTCGTCCAAAGCGACCTTAATACCATTTTGTTTTTTGGTATTTTTTAAGAAATTTTGGTTGATTCGCGAGTACGTTGATTTTTGCCAATGTAAATAAAACACGGAGCTATTTAAATCAATTCATATACGATTGTTTCTTCCTCAAAATTTAAATAATAATTTGACGGCGTTTTAGTAATCACGTGACCATCGGACAAATGTTACTCCGTAACAGTACATATATTCCACCAGAAAATAAACAACTAAACGCAACTAAAACAATCACTGTCTAATGACATGTCTATAAGTATTTGTAACAACTGAAACAATATGGTACGAGGGTGATATTGTACACCACTTTTTTTTTAGACACGATACTGTTGTGTGTTTGTTAGTTTTTGCTGTAGATACGTGGCTTTTTTTTTCGAAACTGACATCATCAGGGTTAAGCAAACATGGCGGTCGCTTATCGGTGCGTTCATATTTTCTCACCGCTACCAATTCTATTGACACAATACAGTGTTTTCTTTATTGTACTGCTGTTAGCAATTTCCGCCCGTCATTGATTGATACTGTATGATATTACAACGACCATATCAAGTGCGATAGGTAAAATTAAGTTATATTGTACACGCTTTAAGTTGATATCCGTCAATACCATCCTATCTTCAATGTATCGTGTGATCCATGATTTCGTTATTGCTTTCCTTAATTTCATCACTCCGCTTTTCTTTTATATCTCGGATAGTAAAAAATGAGCATGAAATTAAACAGCTGCAATTTATCCGTCGATTGATATTTGATATGAAACCCGCGATAGAACAATGTGAATAGAACTAGACGTGTAGAACGGTTAATCGCCTTGTTCATTTCGGCGTCAATTTCCTTTTGTAGAGTGACGAGCAAAAAGTTATTATTGACACATGATGAAATCCACAAACTAATTTCAATCGAACGAATTCAGAATGCGGCTCTGTTTCGAGAAGGCTTCTTAATCGAGTCCCAGGCGTACGCGACTAACATTATTATTATTAATAGGCATTTGACTATTAAAATCATGAAATTGTACATCCTAACCAGCACATTGAAGTATGTGGATTTCCAACACGACCACTTTACACGAAATTCGGTTAGACTACATTACATCAAGTAGTATGTCTATATTACCAACGAAATGAAACATTGTTTGGCATCTGTGATGTATATATCGTGTCGCTTCATAGCTATTGTTTGCCGCTATGTTATTTTTTTTATAGCTCTCTGTTGAAAGCCGTTACGGTGACTGCGGCGATAGCTGCTCGTGGCGGTGGAAGCAATTGAGAAACTATCGCTTTTTGAAGTACACTCTTAATATAATTTCATCCGATATTGAAATTCGACATGCTTTATAGATTTCTACCTCATCAGATGTCTATACTGACTAATTAATGAAGGCATCATCACATTTAAACGGCAGCTGACAGGACGCTATATGACCTGATCTGAGCTTGACGATTTTTCCGCTACTCGCCCCCTAAAACCACAATCACTATGAACACGTACCATACTCGTTCGTAGTTCCTGTGTGGATTCGGATGATGAGGAACAATTTCTTTTATTGTGCTTCTCCTTTGATTATTTTTGATGGACGGAAATGACGGTTTTATAAATAACGCATATCGTTCTGCCAAATGTTCAAATGCAATTTTTGGCCATTCTCGAACAAATTAAACAAAAGCATGCTATCCGAAGAGAAGTGCATAAATTAAAACACAATCTAGATAAGACGAGACATGACATACCAAAGTCCACGGCACACAGCAGACCAAATTCCTGTCTCGCCTAGCAACGGTTGAATTGACTGATTACCAAAAATACTCTAATAATAATGATTACGAGTATTGGAGTATGTACCCCTTTATTACGCCATGTTAATGTATATGTTAGATAAATCATTAATTTTTACTAGAAAGTGTATCTCTTTCCTGTCGCAATGGTAATAAAACATATATACGGATTGTGCATTGTGTCGCTACCGTATAGAAGCATTCAAATCCCTCGCATGCTTTACCCGCGGCTTATTTCCTAATTATTTCGATGCAAGTTGACGTTTAGCGTATGTGCTAATAACATCACACCACAAGGCTGCATGCTTATTTTAGCGTTGATGTTCCGCGTATTATGGAGTATGTAAACCACCGTCTACTATATAAGCTGAGCTTTGCTTTTTGAAATACTCGTTTAGACATTTTGATTGGCTCGATTTCCTGTGCTATTTTGCCGCAATTTCCGTCCCTGACTCGTTTAAAAGCTTTTGGATTGCCAGGTTGATGCCTCAATGCGTGGCGTGGTCGGCGTCGAGACACTCGGCCGTGCTGAATACCTGGCACGTCGAACAAGAGGCGATTGTTAGCCGCCAGCGCAACAATGCATCGACACTTCATTACTTTTATACCGAACAGAAGCGTGCATATTAAATGATACTAACATTATTATTTTATAAGTATAAAACAGCTGCAGGCAAAACGTTTAAGAAAACTAGCTCGTCACTAGTTCAATACATGCTATTATTTAAAAAAAAAGTATAAAAAACATCAGTTACGATGGCAACGAGATAAAAAAATAGTTTAAATTCTCTGAAATTAAAACACTGTTTCTTTTTACAGTCGAGTCTCTGTATATGTTGCCATAGAAACCCACCAACTTTTCCCCCTCCGCTAATCTATATATTTGAAAGTTTCAGTTGACTGACAGCGAAAAGACCGTGATACGTCAACATAAATGTATAACCCGTACATCATGCATCTACGCCGAACGCTTTGATGGCATGACAAAAAAAGATCGCCCAAATGGAGAGGATATAGGAAACAGTGTCAAGGGTCGCGATGACAACACTGGTTGTAATTTTACTAATGGCGATTACAGGCTGCACGGAGACATCTGAAAACATTGGCTAGTACCAATTGAAAAGCGCGATCGGGAGAGAGAATGCGTTTAAATTTCGCCGCGGACCCCATCAGAGTAATGAGCGACAACGCGGCAGAAGACGATTACTACAACCATTATACGCAGGGACATGGAAACAGGGAGTAATCCCCGATGATCGCGGCAAAGTTAGGACAGATTTAAAACGTGTAACTCACAGGCAACCAAAAATGATGGGATTCCGTACCGCTATTTCATTAGAAAAAGTGGATGACAAAGTACTTGTAATGCGCAGTTCGACTGCAATTCCACTGATTATGCAAATACTCAATGGTCGAGCCAGTACATATCCTCACCAAGCACTTAGATATTTTTTTAGAACTAACGTAATATATCCAAATGAATCAGTGTGATAAACATACAAATAACACATGTGAACGGAAACAATGATAATATAATAATAACTACTATAACTAATAACGTAATCAAAGTCTCAACGATTTCGCAAACTTTCTGCAAAATTCATAATGAAAATGATAATGTTGACTGGAAGCGTGCGGCAAATGTTTATTTTTCTCATTCGAAAAAAATTATTAAATTCCACTTAAAAGCAATCATTTAATTGCGATATGTGTTTGAAACATATATACAACACGTAAATTAAGTCGATATGGGTACACATGTACGCTGATGACTACAGCTCACGCGTACAGAGTACTTGATACTACGTATAGACTTACCTGGTGTAATGTCCATGTTATCATGTTCCATCATTGTCGATATCAGGTTTTTTGTTCCTGTAATGTAGCAACTGCCAGTGAAACGCTGAAAATACCAATAGATAACTCCGGTAGCAACGCTCTCTATATATCCACGGAGGTCCACCACGAGCTCAATGCAACACGAACCAATCAAATGCCACGTCTCATGTGATTTCAATTACACCTGTTCATTATGGCGCTCGCTGATTGGTTGTCGACGTGATACTTGACAGTTTAAATGACATGTCACGGGGTGTTATATCTTCCCACCCTGCTTATTAGTGTTTAAAATATGTCAATGACTCGCCACTTCATTCAGTAATTATTCGAACATATTATATCCCAGTAGAACTGGTCTCCTGGTGTTCTTCGGTGTTTCTCTTTGCTATTTTCATCGACTTTGTTAGTAATCAACACACGCATATCATTGAACTGAAGTAGTTTCATCACCGCACGTAATGTGGTATTGCATATGGTAATACGGCGCCGCCTATTCCACATACGAATAACAAGACACCCACCCAGTAATACTAATTTCCTACACCGCTGGAAAACACTGAGCGAATCGAGTTCTTTCAGGACAGGCTGTGGTGCAGGGTCGAGTCTCGTGATCTTATGTTCTGTCCGTCATTCCATGTACGCGACATTTCATTTTCCCCGCACACAATACTATGTATAATGCCACTAAGAAACGAAGAGCGATGCATCGTATGAGGCCTATTGATGTGTACAATGTTAATCTTTTCACGAAAGGCCATGTAATTATAGCGAGTAGTTAACGTATACATTGAGGAAAAGCTAATAACGCTGTCATCAAATTTATCATTTAATTAATTAATTGATAGATCATATAGATCAGAAATTTACAAATACTAAGAGAAAAAGCAGAAAACAGACACGAATGATGGTTATGTCTGCAACTAGTTGCCGGTGTACCGTGTTTTGAGTAACGACTCATTTTATTGACAAGCCGATGTGAACAACTAAATTTCAAGTACCAGACAGCGAGTTAAGAGCGATACGGTGCTTTTTTTTTCTCCTGCTCAAGTAGCGGAGATGACAGTGTTGATAAGGATGAAGCTTTTTTCGACATGCAATGATCTAACTGCGACACATTAAGTACGCTGTATTGCTAAAAGCTTCCAATATATAACGATAATGCATTCTTTATACTGTGCTCCTTGGCTAGGTTTTGAAACTATTTAGATTTCAGGTGAGAACGCGAGATACTAATACCATACAGTGTCGGGCTGAAACAGTCAAGATCGTGGAAACAGTTGTTGCTCCTTGGCGAGGAATTGATGCGAGGCGATCATGTCACCTGCATTTGACACACTGAAATGAACTACATGCATCTATTCACTTAATTGTGTTTCCACGTGCCATTTTTAAAAGTAGTTCGCGTGGAAAATTAGTTGAACTATATTAGTACGAATACCCCTCCCCTATCCTATTATTTGACACCAACTTAAACGTGAAGCGACACGCTCCGTACGGCGTTGTATTGTTCTTACGTACTCAACCGGGTTCAAAACAATGACAAGTACCAGATTTACCCACAAGCTTCGTGTCTTTCAACCATATTCACAGACCATCAAAAGACTCAGCAGCGTATTTTTTATGTATGTACCATCTGCGAAAATGTTACACCCCCTCCAAAAAAAATCGTCCAACTTGAGTCTGTAGATATATTTAGTTCAATGGTAGATGTGTTCCGCCTGGTATGTCATAGTTACAATTGAACCATCGTCTTAACTTCGGTTAGTGTAATCAGAGTAAAGTACGTGCACCATGTGTAACAGCGCCAGTGATGCTTTCACCCGGTGCTGTGAAGTTCTGTCGCTACATACAGCTGACTGACACTTGTGCATCTGTGATACAACGTCATTAAATAATCAGCATGTTTATATACACATTGTCAAATCAATTTCAACTTGTTCCGTCTATCCGAAACTTCGATCTGAAGAACCCACTAATATAACTTTAATGTATAACGCCGTGTTTTGCACTCACATGATAGTAACAAGTGCACATCTTTAACCTCTTAAAGGTAGCTAGATTCAAATTATATCGTGACGCGATCGCACAGTGGGGTGTGTTTTCATCGGTAAAGTATATTGACTACACATGAATACGAACATACAATCGCGTCGTATCTCGGTCAAGCCATGCAGTGACAGATATCCACTATAGCTACGTCGACGACAATGCTTCCTTCCAGCTGCGGAAAGAAATGGGGTGTATCTCAAATTAGGCCACCATTTCTGTATTGTCGTCTCTATTATTGCCCGTAAATTAAATATTTACCGAGTGGTTGAGCACAACTGAAGTGTCAATGTACGAAACGTCAATGCAGTACGACCTTTTCCCCGTGCTTCTTGATATCCCGGCGTTCCCGTGGCGCCAAAAATTCGTTGCATGGCAACGTTTCCCTGAGCGTTAATGCGTTTTTAAGGTAAATAGCGTGAGAAATGGAAGAGAGATTGGTCGCTGAGATGAATGGACTGTGTCCTTGTTTATTGTATTTGATCAAGTAACGTCTGCTAGCCATCACCATCGGACGAGTGGCGCACATGTACTTTGGTATCATCGTCTCACAGGCTTACAAGACTCGGAACCTGTTGTTGAAACAAACCCGAATACTGCGCACATACCCACGTGTACACGCCTATTAAATGAGCAGATATGAAATCTTCTTTAATAATGTTTTACAACTTTAGTGTTTTATAACACGCATGGCGTACGTGTTTAAATCATCAAGCCCCCGCGTGTAAAATTATTCTATTGGCTTTCTGAGCAGACGAATACCTCGTGTGACACATCTAAACTGCGGACAACAAAATAATTAGAACGGGAAAAGAAATAAAATTATCATGATGAATGTTGATTCACGCCTCACACGTAAAACAACTAGTTTTTTTCTGTAATTGAGAGTAGAGAACATTTCCGCTCATTAATTACTGAAGATGATTTTTTACAAGTTCAGAAATACGTAATTTAGGTAAGGTGAATGACTTTAATAACGGGAAGTGGAGTCTACATTATGCAAATTAGCTAATATATGCATTTATTTGCATAAGAACAAACTAGGTGTCTGATTCGCCACAGTACATATGTCCAAATTTATACGCGCCAATGGCACACTGATGCTAAATCACGTGATGCAGTCAGACTGAGCGGAGGTGCGTCAATTGATGGAACAAACAAACAGTGTGCACTATCAAATATGCCTATTTTGCAGACGTCCGTTTACGATTCAGTTATATTTCTGTTTCATGAACGTGGATAGTACATAACTGCCAGTATAAGTTATATAATGAGTGTGCAGAGATATGTATGTACACGTCTCTCATCTAGCAAGCAATGATTGTAGGAATCTTCGCCAATTTGATAACCATGGCAACCATGCGAGTGACGTAAACTAGATATACATTCTTTAGCTGCGCATCTTCGTTGCAAGTTACTAAAAAGTTGAAGCACCACGGTCGTCGTGTAGCGTTCGGCGAACAAAAATATATTTTTTACCCACGTTGTACATGGAATCTGTCGCAACTAGATCCAGATTCCCGTTACCCACTTATTATGTTAATTATTGTATTATGTAAAATTGTATTACAATTATTTTACTAATTATTACTTTCACGGGTATTAATCTTCAAATTTCGTACATAACTTTTCGGGTCGTATCCCGTGGGCGAAATCCACACATCAACTTCACTTGAACAGCATTTACTTAACGAACTTCACAAAGAAACAATAATCTACTAGCAGCGACTATTGTATTTTGAATTTAATAATTCAAAGAACGGGAAATTATTAGATGAAGATTGCATGGTGTGGACTTACGCACGGCAGGTAGTAGTAATTATCTTACAACGTGTTGGAAAGGAGGACAATGTGTTAAGAGAAAAGCGTGTCGCGGTGCTTGAACGGAAGTGACGACATCCGAACTAAGTAATTGCATTCACGGATTAACGTCACTGAGAAGTATATTGATAATGAAAACAACAAGCCAATCCGGTAGTTTATAAAAGTCGACAGGAATTTGTGAATTTATAGCCAAACTAATCCATAATGGTGTGTCTCTACGAGGTATGTGCCCATTACCCTAATAGTGCGTGCTGGCTACAGTTTCAACGCCCCGGGGAATATCGCAGTCCCCGATTGGTATATGTGTACAAAGCCCAGATTACAACAGATTTCAACCGTATGGCTGCTAGCTACCCGAAATAAAAAGACAATCCTCCTGCCCATGAAGGTGATCCACGTCTTAAGAGTTCGAACCGTCACGTAACCATATAAATGAATTGAGATCGAGATATGGGTGGACGAGGAAAAAAAAGATCCCAGTAGACGATTCTTTCCAGCTTATCGTATTCATTGGATTATAACAACTTAAAAAACGCGGATCGGATAGTAAAGAAAATTAAAAAAATGTTTGGTGTTATTAAAAAGGTTCAGATTCTATCTTTGACCTGGTTGCTTTTTGGATTATTGAAAAGCCTCCGCCAAAAAAAAAGTCAGAATGGAGATGTAAAAAGATGGTTAATCATTCTCTGACACGGCGGTTTTTAGGATTACGGAAATCTGCGAGATGAAGAAATTTCATTTTCTATTTCAAACTCATAATTGTTAAATGACAGCTATCTTGCTTGGAGGTAAAGATGTAGAGACGTTCATCTCTGCATATCACAGAGAGCAGAAAATTGAATTTATGATACAATTAGCGACAACATCCTTCACAGCTTAGTCTGGTGGCCACTAACGGCACACGCTATGTGGCATTATTTTACGATTCGGGCGACCATCACTGCTGTCATATATCATTCCACTTTTATTTTCACAAATATGAATATAATCCAGATTTTTTAAATATACAGGATCGTAAACCGTGACAACAACTTGGTGGAGGGGAGAGGTTATATTGGTCCCCCAAACTGTATTGCGTCGGTTATTTCTATTCAAACAAACCGAATGATAACGATTAGCGTCGGTATACAACAGCATATATCACATACATCATAATTTCACAA